TCCTGCTGACCCACTTGCCACGAAGATGTTACATTTCTTTCCTTCTAGTTGTTTGTCTACTGCTCTCATAGAAGAGAAAGCTACTTGCCTATGTAGACAGAGGGCCCTCTTCAACTCTTGAGAACTCCAACCCATTCTGAAACACTTGGGGACTGGACAACAGTGAAGACACACGGTGATATTCAGTCTCATTCTCTTAAGATGAAAATACGCAACCAGGGCACGTGAGCCAAAACTATTTAGATGGAACAAGCGGGAATCAAACATAGCAAGCATCACAGTTAATCTGACACTAATTTAATGGTATGCGTAACTGTTATTGTGTTGCATGGTAATTAGTCTTAACTGGCAAGCAGTTCAGGTAAATGACTTTAATTAGGATTACTTTCCATCCGTCAAGTCAAATATTTCCAGAGACAACTGAGAGGAGAGACAGTTCAAGAAAAGGAGTTTGTATGTCATCTTCTTCCTTTTTCCCTCCCCTCTGTACCCCACCAAGCAACACACGCACACACACACACACACACACACACACACACACACACCACACACACACACACACACACACACACACGGGATCAGAGGAAATGGCCAATTCTCTAATCACTCCTTTCCTCTCACCTTTCCCTTTATGTTGGACCCCGTGATACCCTATGCTGATTTTAGAGAAAGATGGTATTCACACTTAAGTCACGGTATCCCTGCTATCTAGCCTTCCATGCACACAGAAACAAGAAGATCTGAGACTGGTGATGGGAAGAAAGGATAAAGGGAGGCTGGGGGAGGAAAATGAGAGGCTCCTTGAACATTGTTCTGGGTGCTCCTGACCCATGTGGGTCCCTGCGCACGTGCAGCTCTTATGTTGGAGGAGAGGCTCTGCTGGGAACGCAGGTTGGAGGGGCCGCAGGGTAAAGGAGGCTCACGGCCATGAGGACCAGGAGGAACGGTGGGGCCAGTGAGCACCCACCGGGGAGAAGAGGGGGAGGAAACGTGGGCTCGAGCTGTAAAGCGCGATGGAGTGCTTATACGCGTGCGGCGCAGAGCCAGAGGCTGCCGCGCAATGCAGGAGGAGATCCAGGGCGGCTTGAAGGAGGTACTTCGGAGATGTGGGGCCTGACGGGAGGCCTGCAGCGCGGGAAAGCCAAGCAGTGCAGGCCCGCGGTGAGGGCTTTGTGCGCACACTGCAAGGTCCCTATCAGTGGTTCTCACATCTGGAGACACTGTTTCCTGAAGGTGATGCAGGCTGTTAGCATGAGCCTCACCACAGAGAGGACACCGACCTGGCACATCGGAATCACCTGGGGAATTTGAAAAATGCTGTTGCCTGGGTCCTGCCCCCAAAGATTCTGATTGAATGAGACCAGGGAGCAGCCTGATCATGGAGATCATTTAAAGCTTCCAGGAGGCTCTAACATGCAGCCAAGACTGAGAGCCACTGCCCTAGAGGGAGCAATGCCAGAGTAGGTCAGGATTGGTCTCTGTCACTTACAGACCACCCACCACAAGTAGCTCCTGGCGGGAGCTTTGCCTGTACAGCCTCTGCAGTAACAGGACAATGCTCTTTTGTGTCAAGTGGGCTGGACGCCAGCAAGTGGAAGCAGAGTCTAAAGGGGGCTTGAACAAAGGAGTATTTCGCACTGCACCTGGGTGGGGGAGGTGGGGAGTATTTTTATTACCCTCTCAGATGTGAAGAACAGATCCAGACATGGTGTTCCTCTGAATCGCCAACTGGTTATGTTCATCCCACTCCAACCTACCCCGATGTCTTTTCTTCCCAGGCTTTGGTGAAAGTCCCTGCCCTTTGCTAAAATACTAAGGATTTAAGGATTCGAGCTGTCATTACTCTGGTGATTCTAGGAGATGGCTCTTGTGTGCTCTACTTATAAAGGGAAAACATTGTGTTTTGTAGGTTTGATAGCACTGACCCTCATCAGATGCTGGATGCCAGGCACATGGAGACCCAGCAGATGGAATCCACCATGGACTCCATTTCTGAGTCTGCTAGCTTCTTTGAGGTCACCATCCCTGACTATAAGCAACTGAGGCAGTGCAGGAAGGAGGCGTGCCAGCTGAAGGAGCTCTGGGACACAATTGGGATGGTGACCGCCAGCATCCATGCCTGGGAGACCACCACGTGGATGGATATCAACGTGGAGGCCATGGACTTGGAGTGCAAATGGTTTGCCAGGCACATCCGGAACCTCGACAAGGAGGTCAGGGCCTGGGATGCCTTCACAGGCCTGGAAAGCACCATTTTGAACACCCTGACCTCCCTGAGGGCTGTGGCCGAACTGCAGAACCCGGCCATGCGGGAGCAGCACTGGAGGCAGCTGATGCAGGCCACGGGCGTGACCTTCACCATGGATGAGGGCACCACCCTGGCACACCTCCTACAGCTTCAGCTCCACCACTTTGAGGACGAGGTCCGGGGCATTGTAGACAGAGCTGTGAAAGAGATGGGCATGGAGAAGGTCTTGAAGGAGCTGCAGACCACCTGGGTCCGCATGGAATTCCAGTTCGAGCCCCACCCGCAGACCTACGTGCCTCTGCTGCGGTCCGACGAGGACCTCATCGAGGTTCTGGAGGATAACCAAGTCCAGCTTCAGAACCTGATGACATCCAGGTACATTACCTTCTTCCTGGAGGAAGTATCGGGCTGGCAGAAGAAGCTGTCCACTGCTGACACCGTCATCTCCCTCTGGTTTGATGTGCAGCGCACATGGTCTCATCTAGAAAGTATATTCATCAGATCTGAAGATATCCGGGCTCAGCTGCCCCAGGTACCTGCTGTGGAAATCCTGCTCCCTCTGTTCCCATCCCTGAGCCAAGGGACGATCCCCCAGTTCCTGTATCCTCTAGACCTTTCCTTCTCTGTCTCCCTGCCTTGGCTTCACCCAGGGGTACCTCCAATAAACATTGACCTTCCAAGCCACCAAAAGTCAGGCAGAGGAAAAGAGAGAAAGTGAAATGTATGCCAGCGAGTTTGTTCCTAATGTGTAGGAAAAAGAAAGGAGAACCTGGTTTTAAAAACAAAACCAAAAAAAGTGTACAGGAGAAAGGAGGTCAAAAATATGAGCTGCTCTTGGGGTGCTCCACACATAATTACAATGCGGGTATTGATTGGAAGTGAGCGTCGTTTCCAGGCAAACTCAAGTTCCTTCTCTGCAGCGAGCTGTTCTGTAAAACTCGGGCCTGTGCCAGCAGGCTAAATACCAGTCTTCAGCTAAATACTAAATGAGGAATTTCTCTAAATACGCATTCTTCTCATTACTACCGTTCCTGTAGTTGCTTGCCCCTTGTAATTTGTCCTAATTAATGTGCATTAATGTACCTCCCCCCGCCAGTGGACTCTAATTCATTTAAAAAGAGATTTTCCAGACTTCTGTGTCCCTCAGCACAGCAGCACAGCAAGTTCTCTGCTTACAAATTAGTTTGATTCCAAAATGTCATATGTTGTCCAGACCTTGTTTCAGAGCTAAAGCATTCCATCAAAACATATTTTCCCAGCTCATCCCACAAATGCATATTTAGTGTAATAATGCAGATTAAAGATTGTACATTTGCAATGAAAAATGACAGAAAATAATCCTGCTATAGCTATTGTCATTAAGCAAAATTGAATAAGCCAGATTTTATTAATCTCCAACGCTGATGATTGAAGAAGGGCAGGTTTAATGAGAAGGGGGTGTAGGTGGAGACTTTTGTACACATTTTAAAGGAGACATTTGAGAACTTTCAATCCAACATAATAAAGAATTCATATCCTTAAATTCTCAGGTTTGTGTGTAAAACACATAAATACATTTATTTTCTTTGTATTAACAATATGGTAACAAAGACAACTCTGAAATGTAATAAATCAGTCATCATCTTACACCCTACCTAGTAAATATTTTCACTCATTATGAATATTTCCCAACTTTTTTTCACATATATACATCTTTTTACACAACTGCTCTCAGTGTAATTACAATTTTCTATTCGGCTCTTTTCATTTGAACATTTATGTCAGATATTTCCGATACTTCTATAACCTTGACACTTTTTCGTTTTTAATTGGCATAAGATATCTCACTGAGGAATCGTAATTTACTTCACCTCACCCTCTTGTTTTTAAATCTTCTTGGGAGAGAGGCCCAGATCACAGAGGTCCCAGCAGACTGGAGCCAGTGGCCCGGGTTTGAGTTGCAGGACCTTAAGGAAGTTACTTAAGCTCTCAGTGTCTTGGTTTTCTCATCTGTAAATTGGGACTAATACTAGTCCCTACTTCAAGAAGTTAAAGTAGCACACACAGCACATACCATTATGATTGTTGTTATGTAATAATAGCCACACAAGCTCTCATCAGGTGCCAGGTGTTGGCCTAAAGTGCTTTGCATTTATTATTGTCTCAGTCATTTCAACAACACTGTGAGGGTGTGTGCGTTTGGGGGGAATGATAATATCTAACTAACTTTGACATCATAGTAGCACATTTGCTGTGGGAACACTTACTTTGGTTATATAAACTTTTGCTTGGACCCAGAAAGAACATTGGATCCACCATCTCCCTGACAGGAATTATGTATTTTATGCCAACAGTTCTCAAAGTGTGGTCTGGTGACCCCTGGGGGTGGTCCCTGAGACCTTTCCAGGGGATCCTCAAGGTCAAAATTATCTTTACATTAATACTGATGGTATTTGCCTTTTTAACTCATTCTTCCATGAGCGTACAGTGGAGTTTTCCAGAGGCTACATGATGTGGTATCACAACAGACTGAATGCAGAAGCAGAGAAGAGAATCTGGCCATCTTCTAAGTTAGACATTAAAGATATTTGCCAAAAAAAGAAAAAAAAACGTGAAATGATGCCACTTTTTCTCTAAGTTATATTGTTTTGGAGAATATAATTATTTTGGATAAAAATATGTTATTATGTTAACATAATGGGCTTATTATCGTTATTTTTTAAATGAATTGATAAATATTTTTTAGAAGTTCTCAACTTTAGCTTCTAATATAGAATATACATTGATAGATATAATATTACCTACATAAACAAAAGCTCTTTCCACTCCTCAGTAATTTTTACAGACATAAAGGGACTTCAAGACCAAAATGTTTGCAGACCACTGTTTCAGACTAAAGGCATTTCCTCCTTTGAGACTAATCTCTGTATGAGACAACTAGGAGCAGTTTTCAAAAGCAGACTTAGTATATGAAGGTAGCTTCTTAAAGTTGAGGGGGGTGGTAGTTAATTTTTTTCCACATTTTTATTTGCAGGATTCTAAAAGATTTGAAGGCATCGATATTGACTTTAAAGAGTTAGCTTATGATGTTCACAAAACTCCAAACGTAGTGGAAGCCACCAACAAATCAGGTCTTTATGAAAAGTTGGAAGATATTCAGAGCAGGTGATGGTCGGTTTGCAGCCCCTTTTGTAGTGTGTTTCCTTTCCCCACTCTGTCTCTGAGATCCTTACCTTATTTAACTGCCCGAGTGAGAGAGTATGTCTGGTTGTGTACCTTGATTTGCCTGTGTGGTCGGGTAATATGGGGTATTATTAGAGGTGTTTATTGTGATGTTTGCAAATACCCATACGTGTTCCATGCATACATGATTTCTGCGTGTAATCCATAGGTCGCACTTGTTTTCATTTAGGTAACATCTATGTGCCTATGGATCTAGGCAAACCTAAGTAGGAAATTCTTTGTGCCCACAGACTGTACCTGTGTGAGAAGGCCCTGGCGGAGTACCTGGACACCAAAAGGCTTGCCTTCCCTAGGTTTTACTTTCTCTCCTCTTCGGACCTGTTAGACATCCTTTCCAACAGCACAGCCCCACAACAGGTAAGCTGGGGAAGTGCCTGTAGAAACATTCAGAAGGACCAGGATGCTCCACCAGGAGAGTTTCAGATTCCCCGTTACACCCCCTTAGGCAGTGTATGTATTTCAGACCTGTGTTGCCAGCCTCATCGTAACTAACCTCAGAGCTTTCTTCATTTCCACCATTACTGCTTCCCAGGATGCCCACTCTCCAGCCCATCAGTGGCTTTTTGTTTTTTTTAACAGCTTTATTGGAGTATAATTGCTTTACATTGTTGTGTTAGTTGCTGCTGTATAACCAGGTGAATAAGCTATACATATACAAATATCCCCATATCCCCTCCCTCTTGCGTCTCCCTCCCACCCTCCCTATCCCACCCCTCTCAGTGGTCACAAATTACCGAGCTGATCTCCCTGTGCTATGTGGCTGCTTCCCACTAGCTGTCTGTTTTACATTTGACAGTGTATATATGCCTATGCCACTCTCTCACTTCATCCCAGCTTACCATTCCCCCTCCCTGTGTACTCAAGTCCATTCTCTACGTCTGCGTCTTTATTCCTGTCTAGCCCCTAGGTTCTTCAGAACCTTTTATTTTTTTTTTAAATTCCACATATATGCATTAATATACGATATTTGTTTGTCTCTTTCTGACTTACTTCACTCTATATGACAGACTCTGGGTTCATCCACCTCACTACAAATAACTCAGTTTCGTTAATTTTTATGACTGAGTAGTATTCCATTGTATATATGTGCCACATCTTCTTTATCCATTCATCTACTGATGGACACTTAGGTTGCTTCCATGTCCTGCCTATTGTAAATAGAGCTGCAATGAACATTGTGGTACATGACTCTTTTTGAATTATGGTTTTCTCAGGGTATACACCCAGTAGTGGGATTGCTGGGTCATATAGTAGTTCTATTTTTAGTTTTTTAAGGAACCTCCATACTGTTCTCCATAGTGGCTGTATCAATTTACATTCCCACCAACAGTGCAAGAGGGTTCCCTTTTCTCTACACCCTCTCCAGCATTTATTGTTCATAGATTTTTTGATGATGACCATTCTGACCAGTGTGAGGTGATACCTCATTGTAATTTTGATTTGCATTTCTCTAATGATTAGTGATGTTGAGCATCCTTTCATGTGTTTGTTGGCAATCTGTATTATCTTTTTTGGAGAAATGTCTATTTAGGTCTTCTGCCCATTTTTGGATTGGGTTATTTTTTTGGTATTGAGCTGTATGAGCTGCTTATATATTTTGGAGATTAATCCTTTGTCAGTTGCTTCATTGGCAAATAGTTTCTCCCATTCTGAAGCTTGTCTTTTCGTCTTGTTTATGGTTTCCATAGCTGTGCAAAAGCTTTTAAGTTTCATTAGGTCCCATTTGTTTATCTTGTTTTTATTTCCCTTTCTCTAGGAGGTGGGTCAAAAAGGATCTTGCTGTGATTTATGTCACAGAGGGTTCTGCCTATGTTTTCCTCTAAGAGTTTGATAGTGTCTGGCCTTACATTTAGGTCTTTAATCCATTTTGAGTTTATTTTTCTGTATGGTGTTAGGGAGTGTTCTCATTTCATTCTTTTACATGTAGCTGTCCAGTTTTCCCAGCACCACTTACTGAAGAGGCTGTCTTTTCTCCATTGTATATCCTTGCCTCCTTTATCAAAGATAAGGTGACCATATGTGCGTAGGTTTATCTCTGGGCTTGCTATACTGTTCCATTGACCTATATTTCTGTTTTTGTGCCGCTACCATACTGTCTTGATTACTGTAGCTTTGTAGTATAGTCTGAAGTCAGAGAGCCTGATTCCTCCAGCTCCATTTTACTTTCTCAAGATTGCTTTGGGTATTTGGGGTCTTTTGTGTTTCCATACAGATTGTGAAATTTTTTGTTCTAGTTCTGTGAAAAATGCCATTGGTAATTTGATAGGGATTACATTGAATCTGTAGATTGCTTTGGGTAGTATAGTCATTTTCACAATGTTGATTCTTCCAATCCAAGAACATGGTCTGTTTCTCCATCTGTTTGTATCATTTTAATTTCTTTCATCAGTCTCTTATAGTTTTCTGCATACAGGTTTTTTGTCTCCTTAGGTAGGTTTATTCCTAGGTATTTTATTCTTTTTGCTGCAGTGGTAAATGAGAGTGTTTTCTTAATTTCTGTTCCAGATATTTAATCATTAGTGTATAGGAGTGCAAGAGATTTCTGTGCATTAATTTTGTATCCTGCTACTTTACCAAATTCATTGATTAGCTCTAGTAGTTTTCTGGTAGCATCTTTAGGATTCTCTATGTATAGTATCATGTCATCTGCAAACAGTGACAATTTTACTCCTTCTTTTCTGATTTGGATTCCTTTTCTTCTCTGATTGCTGTGGCTAAAACTTCCAAAACTATGTTGAATAATAGTAGTGAGAGTGGACAGCCTTGTCTTGTTCCTGATCTTAGAGGAAATGGTTTCAGTTTTTCACCATTGAGAATGATGTTGGCTGTGGATTTTGTCATATATGGCCTTTATTATATTGAGGTAGGTTCCCTCTATGCCTACTTTCTGGAGTATTTTTATCATAAATGGGTGTTGAATTTTGTCAAAAGCTTCTTCTGCATCTATTGAGATGATCATTTGGTTTTTATCCTTCAATTTGTTAATATGGTGTATTACATTGATTGATTTGCGTTTATTGAAGAATCCTTGCATTCCTGGGATAAACCCCACTTGACCATGGTGTATGATCCTTTAATGTGCTGCTGGATTCTGTTTGCTAGTATTTTGTTGAGGAGTTTTGCATCTATGTTCATCAGTGATATTGGCCTGTACTTTTCTTTCTTTGTAACATCCTTGTCTGGTTTTGGTATCAGGGTGATGGTGGCCTCGTAGAATGGGTTTGGGAGTGCTCCTCCCTCTGCTATATTTTGGAAGAGTTTGAGAAGGATAGATGTTAGCTGTTCTCTAAATGTTTGATAGAATTCTCCTGTGAAGCCATCTGGTCTTGGGCTTTTGTTTGTTGGAAGATTTTTAATCCCAGTTTCAATTTCAGTGCTTGTGATTGCTCTGTTTATATTTTCTATGTCTTCCTGGTTCATTCTCCAAAAGTTGTGCTTTTCTAAGAATTTGTCCATTTCTTCCAGGTTGTCCATTTTATTGGTATATAGTTCCTTGTAGTCATCTCTCATGATCCTTTGTATTTGTGCAGAGTCAGTTGTTACTTCTCCTTTTTCATTTCTAATTCTGTTGATTGGAGTCTTCTCCCTTTTCTTCTTGATGGGTCTGGCTAATGGTTTATCAATTCTTTTTATCTTCTCAAAGAACCAGCTTTTAGGTTTATTGATCTTTGCTGTCATTTCCTTCATTTCTTTTTCATTTATTTCTGATCTGATCTTTATGATTTCTTTCCTTCTGCTAACTATTTTTTTTTTTTTTTTTTTTTGCGGTACACGGGCCTCTCACTGTTGTGGCCTCTCCCGTTGCAGAGCACAGGCTCCGGACACGCAGGCTCAGTGGCCATGGCTCACGGGCCCAGCCGCTCTGTGGCATGTGGGATCTTCCCGGACCGGGGCACGAACCTGTGTCCCCTGCATCGGCAGGCGGGCTCTCAACCACTGCACCACCAGGGAAGCCCCCTTCTGCTAACTTTGGGGTCTTTTTGTCCTTCTTTCTCTAATTACTTTAGGTCTAAGGTTAGGTTGTTTATTTGAGATTTCTCTTGTTTCTTCAGGTAGGATTGTATTGCTATAAACTTCCCTCTTAGAACTGCTTTTGCTGCATCCCATAGGTGTTGGGCCATCGTGTTTTCATGGTCATTTCCTTCTAGGTATTTTTTGATTTCCTCTTTGATTTCTTCAGTGATCTCTTGGTTATTTAGTAGTGTATTGTTTAGCCTCCATGTGTTTGTATTTTTTACAGTTTTTTTTCTGTAATTGCTATCAGTCTCATAGCGTTGTGTTCGGAAAAGATACTTGATACGATTTCAATTTTCTTAAATTTACCAAGGCTTGATTTGTGACCCAAGATATGATCTGTCCTGGAGAATATTCCGTGAGCACTTGAGAAGAAAGTGTATTCTGTTGTTTTTGGAGTGGGATGTCCTGTAAATATCAATTAAGTCCATCTTGTTTAATGAATCATTTAAAGCTTATGTTTCCGTATTTATTTTCATTTTGGATGATCAGTCCATTTGTGAAAGTGGGGTGTTAAAGTCCCCTACTATTATTATGTTACTGTCGATTTCCCCTTTTATGGCTGTTAGCATTTGCCTTATGTATTGAGGTGCTCCTATGTTGGATGCATAAACATTTACTATTTTTATATCTTCTTCTTAGATTGATCCCTTGATCATTATGTAGTGTCCTTCTTTGTCTCTTCTACTAGTCTTTATTTTAAAGTCATTGTGTCTGATGTGAGAATTGCTACTCCGGCTTTCTTTTGATTTCCATTTTAATGGAATATCTTTTTCCATCCCCTCACTTTCAGTCTGTATGTGTCCCTAGATCTGAAGTGGGTCTCTTGTAGACAGCATATATATGGGTCTTGTTTTTGTATCCATTCAGCAAGTCTATGTCTTTTGGTTGGAGCATTTAATTCATTCACATTTAAGATAATTATCGATATGTATGTTCCTTTTACCATTTTCTTACTTGTTTTGGGTTTGTTATTGTAGATCTTTTCCTTCTCTTGTGTTGCCTGCCTAGAGAAGTTCCTTTAGCATTTGTTGTAAAGCTGGTTTTGTGGTGCTGAATTCTCTAGCTTTTGCTTGTCTGTAAAGTTTTTCATTTCTCTGTCAAACCTGAATGAGATCCCTGCTGGGTAAAGTAATCTTGGTTGTAGGTTTTTCCCTTTCATCACTTTAAATATGTCCTGCCACTCCCTTCTGGCTTGCAGAGTTTCTGCTGAAAGATCAGCTGTTAACCTTATGGGGATTCCCTTGTATGTTATTTGTTGCTTTTCCCTTGCTGTTTTTAATATTTTTTCTTTGTATTTAATTTTTGATAGTTTGATTAATATGTGTCTTGGCATGTTTCTTCTTGGATTGTTCTGGTATGGGACTCTCTGCATTTCCTGGACTTGATTGACTATTTCCTTTCCAATCTTAAGGAAGTTTTCAACTGTAATCTCTTCAAATATTTTCTCAAACCCTTTCTTTTTCTCTTCTTCTGGGACCCCAATAATTCGAATGTTGGTGAGTTTAATGTTGTCCCAGAGGTCTCTGAGACTGTCCTCAATTCTTTTCATTCTTTTTTCTTTATTCTGCTCTGTGGTAGTTATTTCCACTATTTTATCTTCCAGGTCACTTAGCCGCTCTTCTGCCTCAGTTATTCTGCTATTGATTCCTTCTAGAGAATTTTTAATTTCATTTATTATGTTGTTCATCGTTGTTTGTTTGCGCTTTAGTTCTTCTAGGTCCTTGTTATACATTTCTTGTATTTTCTCCATTCTATTTCCAAGATTTTGGATCATCTTTACTATCATTACTCTGAATTCTTTTTCAGCTAGACTGCCTATTTCCTCTTCATTTGTTTGGTCTGGTGGGTTTTTACCTTGCTCCTTCATCTGCTGCATATTTCTCTGTCTTCTCATTTTGCTTAACTTACTGTGTTTGGGGTCTCCCTTTGGCAGGCTGCAGGTTCATAGTTCCTGCTGTCTTTGGTGTCTGCCCCCAGTGCCTAAGGTTGGTTCTGTGGGTTGTGTAGGATTTCTGGTAGAGGGGACTGGTGCCTGTGTTCTGGTGGATGAAACTGTATCTTGTCTTTCTGGTGGGCAGGACACCGTCTGGTCGTGTGTTTTGGAGTGTCTGTGAACTTATTATGATTTTAGGCAGCCTCTCTGCTAATGGGTGGGATTGTGTTACTGTCTTGCTAGTTGTTTGACATGGGGTGTCCAGCACTGGTGCTTGCTGGTCGTTGAGTCGAGCTGGGTCTTGGTGTTGAGACAGAGATCTCTGGGAGAGTTCTCGCCGATTGATATTACATGGCTCTGGGAGGTCTCTGGTGGTCCAATGTCCTGAATTCGGCTCTCCCACCTCAGAGGTTCAGGCCTGCCACCTGGCTGGAGCACCAAGACCCTGTCAGCCACATGGTCAGGCATAAGCAAGGCAAGGGAGATCCTGGGCGAGGGGTCCCACCGGGTCATGTAGACTCCTGGACTCTCTGATGTCCTTTTATTTCTTTGCACTTAGTCTAGTTTCACTTGCTCGTAGGGAGCCGCGTGAAAAGGCCTCTCAGCTGCTCCTTTAGACCAGAGTTCCCAAACTTTAGGCTTGATTTGTTTATTTAATTCGAGTGTCCATCCTTGACTCTGTTCCCATATGGAATGGATCTTGATCTTATATATCCTTTTCTTAATCCTCCTTGGAAACAGTGAAAAGAGAGTAATGTATCACTTCATTTCCAGGAGAGTTCACTGTCGAAAATCAGCAGTTCACACATCAGAAATCTCACCTTGCCACAACCGTTGTGCATTTACCACAGAGTCCCATCAGCGGCGTTTACTCTCCAGAGCTGGAGAGGCTTTGAGGATGGCAAAATGGAAGGGGCTAAGCCTTTCAAGAGAATGCCTTTGATGTGCTTCTGAAGAGAGATGCAGTAAATAGTGGTCAAAAGTAATAGCTAAGATTTCCATGGAAAGATAAGATTGGGAGTTGTGTTAATGAGACATTGGGGTGGTTTATGTGAGTGTATATGAGGAACCCAAAATTTGGGGTTCTAGCCCTTGATTCTAGGCACTAATTAGCCATCTAGTCTTGGGTATATCACTTCTTCGTGACAAATCTGACTCATATGTAAAATAGAAGCCTACTGTGTTACAATCTTTTAAAATATTAAAGTACCTATCTTTGTCTGTCTGACTTATCTCACATGGTATTATACCCTCCAGGTCCATCCATGTTCTTGCAAATGGCAAGATTTCATTCTTCTTTATGGCTGAGTAATGTTACATTGTAGATGTATACCACATCTTCTTTATCCATTCATCTGTTTTTATTTATATGTGGAATCTAAAAAACAAAACAAATGAACAAATATATAACAAACTAAAAACAGTCTCACAGATACAAGGAACAAACTAGTGGTTGACAGAGGAGGGAGGGGGTAGCGGGGTGGGTGAAATAGATGAAGGGGATGAAGAGGTACAAAATACCAGTTACAGAATAAATAATTCACAGGGGTATAATGTACACCACAGGGAATATAGTCAGTAATATTAAAATAACTTTGTATGGTGCATTATCCATAAACATATGGAATCACTATGTTGTACATCTGAAACTGATACAATATTATAAGTCAACTGTATGTCAATAAACAAGAAAAATGAAGTAAAGTATATACATACATACGTGTGTGTGTGTGTGTGTGTGTATGTTTGTGTGTGTGTATCCTAATGGATACCCTGTTGGCGTTTTGAGCTGTAGACAGTGGTTCTCCACCTTGAAAGTGCATCAGAATCGCCCAGAAGGCTTATTAAATACTGCCTCCTAGACCCCGTCCCCGGAGCCTCGGACTCGCAGGTCTGGCTGGGGCTGGAGAATTTGCGTTTCCAATGATTTCTTCCCAAGTGTTGCTGCTGGTCTGAGGACCACACTTTGAGAACCACTGCTAGAGAACAGAGAGTCTGAGTCTCAGAATGATGAGACCCAACACTCTAGTGGTTGTCACATGGTTGTCACATGGTAGCCCTCTAAGCAGTACTAATAAGTAACTTCCCAGACATGCTCTCCACTCTGTTGGCATGGTTTCCTTCATAGGTTCAACGACACCTTTCCAAACTCTTTGACAATATGACCAAGATGCAGTTCCAGCTGGACGCCAGTGAGAAACCTACCGAGATCAGTCTTGGCATGTACAGCAAGGAAGAAGAGTATGTGGCCTTCAGCGAGCCCTGTGACTGCAGTGGGCAGGTAACGTATGCCTTTCTCTCTCAAGTGTCTGCATTCAGGCATCAGCCTTTGTGACCTTGGGCCGGAATTGCTGTCAGTGCCCTGGGACTGCCAGTTCCCTTGACTTGAACCAATGTTGGAGCAGCTTCTAGTGCCCACTTTCCTCTCTCTGGGAAGGACACATGTCAATATCCATATATCTTCCTTAACCAAAGACCTGTGCAGAGAGGAATAAAATGCACATAAACAATTACCTGAGTCAAAGAGAGAAGCATTTTAAAATGATTAGCAGCACCAGGAGACTTTAACATGACAAGCCCTGGAGCACCCCACAGGGGAATGTAGGACACTGACACCTTCCCCGGGAGAACATGCCCTTTGAAATCAACCATATTCCTGAGCGATCACTTCTCTGTACAATACACCTCTCACAGCTCTACCCTGTGGAGAGTCCACCACCGCCCTTCTCCAGAAACTACCACCTCCAAATCTCCCAGGTACAATTCAAGAAACCCAAAACATGAGACCATTCTCTCCTTAAACCTCCTTCCATCTTTCACCATCACCGCTAAAGGATAAGCGCTACTTTGTTCACTATCCTAAATGATCCAACAAAGCATTGTCCCTGGGGTTCTAATCCAGTCCAGAGTAACACCTGGGGAAAAGATCTTTTCAGAGTTCCACCTTCATCCACATGTGTCTTGGAGAGCAATTCTCGTACTTGAAAATAGTCACACATTCTCAGTTTTATGAAAGGGACCTTGGGGTTTGATTCACACCTTGGCTGTTCTTTTTGTAGACCCAGAAAGCATTTAGTTGGAAAATATAATCCTGGCCTTTGGCTTCATACTCAGCGTGGACAAGGTCATGAGAATCCACTGACTTATTTACACCCAGCTCAACCCAGATTAAGATTTCCTCATGAGAACTCTGGGCGGCAGCCCCACATCCCCTGAACCTACTCCTCCGCCCAGTGGGCTCCAGTGGGCATATCCCCCCTGTTGTTAATTGAGCCCCGTCCTGCGTTACACAAACGAACTGTCTCCCTGTGCCTTCTGGCGGCTGTTTGGGGTTGCCCATCGTGCCTGGGCTCATTTTCTTCACTCCCTCAGGCTGAGTGAAGTGTATCACTGAGCACATCTTAGGAACCCAGCGTCTAACCCCGAGTTCTTCTTCCAGGTAGAAATATGGCTGAACCATGTGCTTGCTCACATGAAGGCCACCGTGAGGCACGAGATGACAGAAGGCATAACTGCCTATGAAGAGAAGCCGAGGGAGCAGTGGCTCTTTGACTATCCAGCTCAGGTATTCTCCGAAGCGGGACCTCTGTGGGCCCCCATCCTCTGCTTGCTCTCTTCCTCGATGACCTCCATCAGCCTCCTGGGGCTGCCAGACTCACTTATGCTTCAGGGTCAGGAGAGGCTGGTCTGGAAGGGGTCAGCAGGAGGGACCAGGGGAACTGTCAGCCGTGACGCAGTCCAACCCCTATCTTGGAGAATTAAGGGTCGTCCATTTTTACTCCATTGGCTACAGTAGGGAGAAAACATAAGCAGTTCAGCTCACTGAGCCAGCCCACTTTGTGTGTGCCAAGCTGTTTGCTGAGTGCAGGAGACACCAGCCAGAGGCATGACAATGTAACCCTGCCCGGCTGGGGCTTACAGACTGGCGTGGAAGTCAGTCACCTACAAGTGGGACCTGGTGTGACAATAAAGGAGGCTCAGGGTCCTCTGGGAGCCTGTAGCTGGTTAGCGGGGTCTGGGGATCACCCTCCTGAGGATATGATGCCTAAGCTGAGGTTTGAAACACGTGAAAGATGGAGGGAAAGACCCAGGAAACAT